TCTGTCTTTTGATTATAGTCATCTTAGTGGGTATCAAGTGGTATCAGCTTTTTCGCAATGGGTTTGCCACCAGAACATAGGTGTTGTGAAAACCACCACTAATTAAAGCCAAAATGGGAAAGGAAAAGATTCACATCAACATTGTGGTCATTGGACACATAGATCCCGGCAAGTCTGCCACTACAGGCCATCTCATCTACAGATGTGGTGGATCGACAAAAGGACTATTAAAAATTTGAAAAAGAGGCTGCTGAGATGAGGAAGGGCTCCTTCAGGTGTGCCTAGGTCTTGGATAAACTGAAAGTTGAACATGAGTGTGGTATCACAATTGATGTCTCCCTGTGGAAATTCAAGACCTGCAAGTATTATGTGACCATAATTTATGCCCCAGGTCACAGAAGCTTTATCAAAAACACGATTACAGGCACATCCCAGGCTGACTGTGCTGTCCTGATTGTTGCTGCCAGTGTTGGTGAATTAAAGTGTGTATCTTCAAGAATGGGCAGATCCATGAGCATGCCCTTCTGGCTTTCATACTAGGTGTGAAACAGCTGATTGTTTGTGTTAACAAAATGGATTCCACTAAGCCACCCTACAGCCAGAAGAGATATGAGGAAATTGTTAAAGAAGTCAGCACCTATGTTAAGAAAATTGGCTACAACCCTGACATAGTAGCATTTGTGCCAATTTTGGTTGGAGCGGTGACAACATGCTGGAGCCAAGTGCTGACATGCCTTAGTTCAAGGGATAGAAAGTCACCCAGACAGATGACAGTGCCAGTGGAACACACTGCTTGAAGTCCTGAATTGCATCCCTACACCAACTCATCCAACTGACAGGCCCCTGAATTTGCCCCTCTAGGATGTCTACAAAATTGATATTGTCTCTGTGGGCCAAGTGGAGACTGGTATTCTCAAACGGGGCATAGTGGTCACCTTTGCCCCAGTCAGTGTTACAACTGAAGTGAAGCCCTTTGAAATGCTCCATGAAGCTTTGAGTAAAGCTCTTCCTTTGGACAGTGTCGGCATCGGTGTCAAGAACATATGTGTCAGAGTTGTTTGTCATGGCAGTGTGGGTGTTGGCAGCAAAAATGACCTACCAATGGAAGCAGCTAGCTTCACAGCTCAGGTGATTATCCTGAACCATCCAGGCCAAATCAGTGCTAGATATGCATCTGTGCTGGATTGTCACCCAGCTCACATTGTGTGCAAATTTACTCAGCTGAAGCAGAAGATTGATTGTCACTCTGGGGAAAACTGGAAGATGGCCTAAAGTTTTTGAAGTCTGGTGATGCTGCCATTGTAGATATGGTTCCTGGCAAGCCCATGTGCACTGAGAGCTTCTCTGACTATTCTCCTTTGGGATTCTTTGCTGTTCGTGACATGAGCCAGAGAGTTGCTGTTGGTGTCATCAAAGCAGTGGACAAGAAGGCAGCTGGAGCTGGGAAAGTCACGAAGTGTGCCCAGAAATCTCAGAAGGCTAAATGAATATTATCTCTAATACCTGTCACCCCAGTCTTAGTGATGGAAGAAAGGTCTTAGAACTGTTTGTCTCAACAGGACACTTAAGTTTAATAGTGAAAGACTTTAATAATTGGAATGCATTGTAAAACCTTCAGAAGGAGAGGTGAATATTTTGTAGACCATGTGGTTTTTGTGTGTGTGGCAGTTTTTAAGTTACTAGTTTATTAAATCAGTACTTTTTAATGGAAACAACCTGACCAAAAATCTGTCACAGAATTTTGAAACCCATTAAATCAAAGTTTAATGAAGAAGAAAAAAAAGTGGTATGTTTCAGTTTTGATTTCCATTTTCCTGATGACTCTTTATTGTGCTTTAAAAAATTTCTTGCTGATCTGATCATTTCTGGCTTTCCCAGTGCATTTTGTTTACTTTATCTTTTGTTTTATACTCCTTATTTACATGTCTTGATTTTTTAAAAGATTTTATTTATTTATTTTTTAGAGAGGGAAAGGAGGGAGAGAGAGAGAGAGACATCAGTGTGTGGTTGCTGGGGGCCGTGGCCTGCAACCCAGGCATGTGCCCTGACTGGGAATCGAACCTGCGACACTTTGGTTTGCAGCCCGCACTCAGTCCACTGAGCTACGGCAGCCAGGGCACATGCCTTGATTTTTTTCCACTGCGAATGTATATTCCCTTAGTCTTACCAGCTACCTTTGCTAGCAGTGTACACCTGGAGAGAAGAGAAAAGTCTGGTTTCCAGCTTGTCACCCTCTTGGCAACTTTTGTAAAATGGGAGGCTCTGGGCTCAATCATTTAGCATCCTCACCTTTTTCTACAATCATGCAACCTCACCTCAAAGAAACTCCCAGGACTTCTGGCCCCTGTGCTCCTTTACACCTCCCTCTGCTGTCACTGGATTAGAGAATATGCAGGGGCTGTCCCAAGGGTGTCTGTCCTCCACCTCAGGAAGGTACCAGCACTGTTCTGATATCACCTCTCTAGTTGGTGCTTCCTGGCAAAAGTTGTTTGCCAGAGATCTGTCCAGAGTCGAGGAAGTGGTCCAATCAGGAAATATCCCTATCCCCATCATGATGCAATACCTTTCTGTGCTCTAGACTGCCTACTGCCACCTTACCTATATCCAGACACTTTTGGTGTCCTTGGGGGTTTCCCACAGCCTTTATAGTCTGTCTTCCCTCTCACTCTTTAGACCTCTCCTAGATTGGGTTTGGGGAAGGGACCTAACAGCCCACCTATCTCCCTATTTTGTTTAGAACCAGGAGTGTGAAGAAGCTCTTTGAACATTTTCCAAACTTACTTGACTTTGGGACCCCCCTCACCCCCCCACCATTTTGTCATTCAACTGATGTTCAATTGAATGCTTCATATGTGCCAAGCACTATTCGTTGGGGCAGTACTGCAGTGAATTAAGACAGACAAGGTTTCCCACCCTTATGGAGCTGCCATCAGTGAGCAGGGAGGCGACAGTACTAACTCCCTTAATGAACAGGATGACTTCCTACAAGGCTGCAGTGGAGTGGAGGAGCAGAGAGCAGTAACACCACTTCAGACAAGGTAGTTAAGGACAGCCTTTCTGTAGAGGTAACACTTGAACCAAGTTCTGATATACAAGGAAGAGCCAGGCTGAGGAAGATTTAGGACAGAAGATGCAGGCACAGGACCTAAGGCAGGAGTAAGTTTGGTGTCGGGGGCTAGAACATAGTGATGACTAAGAAAGGGGATGATGGGAGATGAGGCCACAGAAATAATGGAGCCAGATCCCATGGGTCACAGTAAAGAGTTTGAATTGTATTATGAACATACAGGGGGAAGGCAGGTAGGAGTTTCCATCAAGTGAGGTGAATTTAATTAGTTTTTAAAGGAAGAATCTGGCTTTGTCTCTGTGTGGAGAACAGATGATATGGGGTAAGAGTGACAGGCAGTGGGAAGACCGATAGGCAGTGGCAGTGATAGTGATCTGGACAGAAGTTGAGTGTGGTTTAGACTTGGGAGAAAGCAGGGGTGATGGAAGGAAGTTGGGGTACTATATAACATTTATAGAGTTCTACAAACTCATCTTGAGACATTAACTGGATAGTGTTTTGTGGGCTAGTGGTCCAGTGCCTGGCATTTCAGTTATCTGTTGCTGTATTACAAACGATCCCAAAACTTAGTAGTTTAAAACAATGAATATTTAATATTTCTTCTGATGCTGTGGGTTGACTGGGCTCAATTGGGTGATTCTTCTGTGGCAGCATTCATCTGAGAGCTGGATCAGGATTGGAATGAACAGGATGGCTTCTCTTCCCCCAGAACCTGTTTCTACATCCTCTAGTTGTTCAGCGGTCCAGCCTGAACACAATGGTAGCTGAACTCAAAGAGGGAAAAAATAGAAGCTGCCAGCCCTCTTAAGGCCTAGGTTCAAAAGTCCCAGAATGATACTTCTGTCACTATCTGATTGGTCACGTACAGGCCCACCCAGATTCAAGGGGAAGAGAAATTGACTTTACCTTTTGATATGAGGAGCCACAAATATCCAAAAGTATAGGAGGGAGTGTTGGGTCAATATTTTGAAACTATATAAGACAGCTTGCGATTTCACTTTGAAACTTATTTTAAACTCCTAGAAGAATTTCAAAGTTCGCTTTTAAAAGTTTTGGTGTTCAGTTTGGGAAAGTAATGAGAGCAAATTATGAAAGAAAGAATTCTTGCTCTTCTTCCAACAGAGTTATTTGCTAGGCTAAGAGTAAACTGATTCTACAAAAAGAACTCTCAAGTTTCTAAACTTTATCCAACCCTTGGCAAACTATTTTATAAATGTCTTTTAATCTTTAATTTTAGCTCTTTGCTATAAAACCCTAATTGCATGTGTTCTGTTACTACATGACTGAGGGTCCTAGAGTGGCACTCACTGAGAACAGACATCTTCAGTCAGGCTCCCAAGGTGAAACCCACCAGTTCAGTTAGGGTACCCGCCTAAGGAGCAAAGACCACATCCTCTTTGACTCTGGTAGGGCCTCTCCACTATTGTGATTTGTTTTAGGGATGATACCTATTTTTGTCAAATTTACTCATTGGAATAGAGACATATTTTAATCAATCCACATATAGATACTGCAATAATTGGCCCCCATGGCTGTTTGGATAACTATACTTACCTTCACGGCACTAGAGCTGGTTAATGTTTGTTGAATGGACTGAAGATGTAATATAGACAAAATGAAACCTATAGAAGCTGTAAATTCCATGCTCAGTACTGCATTTCACTCACTTAATGACTTTAAACATTTTAAACTTTAAACTTAAATCTTTTAAGTTATTTTGACTTAAAATTGTTACAACTAGGATGAGTTTTTCATATTTAATTTTATACAAATTCATGACTATGAATTTTTTTGTTGACATGAGCTTTTAAAATAGGATGTAAAAAAGACCTTTCTGATACATGAAAACATTATAAGTACTGATTATCTATGGAAATTAAATCAATCTTTTGAATAATTTTGTTTATATATAACCAGTGTTTCTTTCTCATAGACTGCCTTGCCGTCCAGGAAAGGATTTCGGCACCAAACCACCAAGTTTTTATATCGTTTGGTGGGATCAGAAGATTTGGTTGTGGACCAGAGCATTGTGAGCCCTTATACTTCTCGGATCTTGAAACCATATATCAGGTATATGGAGAAGAGCCATGATGTGGATTGTGTCATGACAAGTAATGTTTGTGCTTTCTACCCCCATCCCTCTCCTGGAATGAGGAAATACCAAAACCTGTGAGCGGGAGTCAGCAAGGACCATGTCTGCTTTGGTACCTAGCCTCAGCCCTGACTTGTTTCAACTAAGCTTTTTTGCAGAAAGGATGATCCTTTGATAGAAATAGAAAAGGCAAGGATAAGTTAACTGTTGGATTTCATTAAGATGACCATACTCATTGTTTTGTTTTAAATTTAAAGTTGTATGTATTTAATAGTCTATGAAATTAAAAAATGAGAGAGTTGTCTCAAATTGTACCTATAGCTGGATTGGATGTTGGGACAGTTTCTGCTGCAAAGCAGAGCAGACGAGAGGTCCCCAGTGCTATCTTGGCTGTGATTAACAGAGCACATAGTCTTTGTTGACTGCACTTGCACTGCAGCTCTGTAGTCACCTGATGCTCCTTGCATAGCACTGCTTCCCAGGCAGACACATGGAAAGGCAGTGTGTGAGCCTGCTTTGGTTCCCCTGGTCTCTGGTGGTCCCCAGCTACCTTGGCAGGATTGAACCTTCCCTGCCCTAGACTCTGTCTTGGTGAGAGCATTCAGAGGATTAAATCAGATGCTAATTCTGTTTCCTCACTCCGTTCATAAGGCTTACGAGCACCAGTAGAGTTACTGGTGGGTACAGAGGGGTTTGGTCAACAGATGTTTAAAGAATGAATTTTAAATTCATACCAAAATGTACTATAGCTGTGGTCAAGCTAGTTGCCATATAAATAATGCAAGTTAGTTCAAAATTTCAAGCAGATCAGAGTTTGCATGAATCAAATGGTTAGGAGTAATATTGGGTATTTTTTGACTTGAATTTGTTTATCTTCTGTGGTACTGGAGGCGTGATTATGAAACAAAGCCACCCAAACTGCAACTCCTGTCACAGATTCGTTCTCATCTGCACAGAAGTGACTCTCACTGGACTCCAGAGCCTGATGCACCTCTCGATTACTGCTATGTCCGGCCAAATCACATCCCAACGATAAACTCTATGTGTCAGGAGTTTTTCTGGCCTGGTATGTTCTCCCCTTTTCAAACTGGGTAGATCAGTTTTCTGTATAGTTAACTTCAGTAATTTTTAAAATTACTGTATGTCATGTGACCCTAAAACCTTCACTCATGATTTTATATAGTTTGTCTCTACTAATATAAAAATATTAAAATATAAATACCCCTTTTTTCCCTAAGATCAAGAATAAGCCTGCATTTAAAGTAATAAACAGTGTTTTTGTTTGTTTCTCTTCCCTATTTTCTTCTGCTTCCAGAATAAAAGATTCATTCTGTTTGTTTCTACATATGTTTAGATAGCAGGTAATGTCTATCAGCCATACACAGACTGGCAGCTGGGGCATTTGGACACTTTTGATTTTGCTTAATAATTCTGTGTGCTCTGTTTATTTAGCTATTTCTAAGAGAGTGTCAGTACAGCCAAAAGGTGTTTTTAAAAAACCAAATATGCCGATCACAGACTTTAACCCAATATGATTTGTCATTTTATCAGCCTTATAATATACTGTATCTAAGCACCAAAGCCATCAGTTAAGAGAACACATTTTTGTTGTTAAATATAAACACATTTTTGTGGATCTGCTTTACCACTGTGCTTTGAAATATAATATGTCTTCCAGATGTTAGATAAGATTTCATCAGGATGAGAGCTTTGTCATCTTCATTGTCTCATAATCATATCATAGTGCCTGTGGTGGCAGAGCTGTGCAAGTGGAAAGGAACATTCCAGGAGCAGTCACTACTTCCTGCCTTTACACTAGGTGACTTTCATAACCTATGCAGGAGCTCATTTTTTATTTAACCTTTTTATTGTAAAATGTAGCATTTGTACAAAAGAGCTTATAAATTGAGTATGTCTGAGATAAAGACTACAATGAAATGGACACTCTCAGGGGATCTTGACTCCCACTCTGTGAGGTCTAGGTACACTCTCATCTTAAACAAGGTAAAACTGAAGCTAAGACATTTAGAGATGTGCCCATTGATACACGTGGCCAAGGAGGCTGAATTGAAAACCAGGTGTGTCCAGTGCTCAACCTGTTCACTCCTACTATCCATCCTATCCTGCCTTTCCTCTTTTACATACATACTTAGAAAAGATGATGTTAATTTTGGTATATTCTAAAATTCATTTTTAATTTTATGATCTGAATGTGTGCTATGTATGGTAATGTCTTTGTCTCACTTTATTTTGTTTTGTTTTGTTTTTTTAGCATGCAGGTGCAGCTGTAAGTACAGACTGAATAGCTTGGTGTTCATTAATTCCAAAAGGCACATGGTTTTGAATCTCCAATTGTTTCTTTTCTTTAGGCATTGACCTGTCTGAGTGCTTGCAGTACCCAGACTTCAGTGTTGTTGTCCTGTATAAAAAAGTCATCATTGCTTTTGGCTTCATGGTTCCCGACGTGAAGTACAATGAAGCTTACATTTCATTTCTGTTTGTCCATCCTGAATGGAGAAGAGCAGGGATTGCAACTTTCATGATTTATCATCTCATTCAGGTATGTTGTCTGTGCTCATCTTCTACACACTTGCTTCTGGGCTCTTTGGAAAGAATTAGAGGAAGAGTGGATCTGAGCAGGGCCCTCCCTGCACGGCCCAGTGGAATATGAGACCAAGTGACAATGCCAGTCACCATCCTTCTCCGCAAGATGGGTTGCCCTTTGGTTTTCAGAAGCTGCCCGTGGGTTCTGGTGTGTTGCGTAATGTTATCCATTTTTTCTTATTATATTGTTTTTCTTTTTTTTTACAGTATATGTTTAAAAGACAGTATCTTTTGTACTGTGAATTTGCAGTAGAAGATGTATAATGTACTTTTTTTTTACTTCTGTTGGTGTGCACTGTATATGTAGTCTGTGTGCTTCTTTTGATGAAAGTAACTTTATAAGAAAAAAAACAAAACACATAGACAAAAATCTTCAACCCTCTAAAATAAAATTGCAATTTAGATCTGGATTTTGAAGAAGCCAGTTTGTGAATATGTGTAGTAAATAAATGAGAAAATAGCAAAAGCCTGAAGCAGTTATACTGTCCATATTGGAAACGCTGCTGCTCTTTGAATCAGTGCCACCACGACTCAGACAAGGAAGTGGAACTATGGTTTTTAGTTTTCAAATATTTTAAAACATTGTAGCTAAGCTTTATCAATCACTAGTAGCACATATTTTGTAATTCTTGGTTGCTTTTCATTTTGCTATCATCATATAACCTGGTATGAACCTTCCAAGATTTAATTCTAATATCAAATTATAATTCATCCTTTGATAATACCTGTATCACCTTTAAAGAAAATATACTGTATATTTATATACTAACATCAGACAAACATGCAAGGATTTTATTTCACCCAGCATATTTTTGGCAACTCTTATTTAGAAACCATCTGGTATGGATGATTTTGTGTTACTGGTCTAGATTCTTTTTTTGTTTGGGATTTTTTTTTATTATTATTGAGGTATAATTGACATAATAACATTATATTAATAAGCTTCAACTGTACAACATAATGATTTAATTTTTGTACATACTGCAAAATGATCATTATTACATTGTCTTGTTAACATCCATTACCAAACATAATTATAAAATTTTGTTTTTCTTATTATGAGAATTTTTAAGGTTTTTCTCTTAGCAACTATCAAGTATACAGTACAGTATTAAATGGAGGATGGAGTTGATAGAATGTTGTTTTTCCAGTTTTTAATGAAACTTGCTCAGCAATTCCAAGTGTTGGCCAGAACCTTGGGAACTGTCTTCTAGAAATTGTTTTCTTCTCACCTCTCAACAATTTATATGTGCTACCTTGTGTTGTCTTGAACTGAGAGCTTCTCAGTTATTTCTCCCATGCCTCCTTTTTCTCTGCCTACTCCAGTCACAGAATTGACCTCTACTCTGTGTTCATCCTTCAACCTAGCAGAATGCCTACAGGATTTCTGCCTTTCCCTTCTGGCAAGGGCTTGAGGGCAGGGCACAGATGACAGTTTGATGTGTGTGCTTGACACAAGGACTGGTCCAGTCAGTCCTTACAGAGCATTTCCTGAGTGGGAGGAGAGTCTTTATCTTGGTATGTGGGTGCCTGGCCCCCAGCCAGCCCAGGCCTGGACACAGGCAGTAGTACTTGGTGATGACCGTGATCAGACTGTGCATATTTGCAGAGTATCCTATGATAAGGAATACCAGCCTTATCATAGGATACGCTCTTGTCCTTGGTATAATAGTAGTTCTTTCTTGTTCTAAAATGCCTTTGGATACAAAATGTGAATTCAACAGAGAATAGAAGGTAGCTGTCTACTTTTGACAGAGTTCTTAAGTAGAGGCCTTGGGGGAACCATGAAGTATAAACTCTCAAGCACTCTGTCAACATCAGTATTTTGATGCCGCCTTCATTAAAAACAGGTTGCTTATCTATATTACTTTTGGGATACTTTAGCCTGTGTAGCTAATTAAAGAATCCAAGGGCTTGCCTTGTATTGGTAGAATAATTATTATTGTTTTTCCCTAGGATTGGGCCTATCCTAAATATAGAAATCTCAGTTCGAGAAGTGAGTTCTGTCAGTTTGGGAGGAATGGGAGGGAGACTTTGGGATTCTGAAGGTCCATGTAAATTCTTAAGGTTTTATAATTAAATGAAAGTCTTAATATGTCTTATCTGGTCACATAATTTAACATCTAGTTTTTAAAAGCAGAGCTTACCTTGTTCACTATTTCTTCAAGATTGACACAGTGTTTGGTATAGATATGTTTGATACATTTACATGTAATTGAAGTACAAATAATACAGTTGACAATAAAATACCTCCCTTGGCCCTTTGCTTCAGAGAGAAAAAAGAACATTCAGCATACCATCAGTTTCCTTAGTGTTGATGAATGCTTTGGTGAATGTTTTGATCCAGGTAAAACGTCATTTGGTTTCCAGCTGTTGCGAGGTGTTGCAAAATCTAAGTCCCTAACTTCTCCAGTTTCCTAAACTATCTACACTTAAAAGAGTTTCTTTACCTACTCATTTTTCCCTCAGGCTTTCTCCTATTCATCTTGTATTTTTCCACTCTTTTGGCAGACCTGTATGGGCAAGGATGTAACCCTTCATGTCTCAGCGAGCAACCCCGCTATGCTGCTGTACCAGAAGTTTGGATTCAAGACTGAGGAATATGTTTTAGATTTTTATGATAAGTATTACCCCTTGGAGAGCACAGAGTGTAAACATGCGTTCTTCCTGAGGCTCCGACGCTGATGTGACTTGAATATAGCTCTTCACAGAGAAACACATATGCTATTAGAGATGGGTCTTCACATAAACCTTATTCATTTCACTGTGAGTTCTAATCTCTATGATTAGACATTCATTCAAATTCTCAGCTGAGCTGAGAAAAGAGGTGGGCGATGGAATGAGTAGTGAGCAGCCTATCAGCAAAATTGCTGTCCAGTCAGTCCTTTCTGGAGAGGCTGTCAACCCACATCTTGGGACTTCAGACTCCAAAGTTAACTGACACTGAAAGATGCTGCTGTCCTTCCACTGGACAGTTTATAGAATGAGTATCAAACTCATATTTTTAGTCCATCCTAATTTAAAGGATGAGCAAATGTGATTGCTGTAAAGATTCATGCAGTGCCTAAGAGGCACTATCCTGTCCTAGAATGATGAGGATTATGAGATGGTTACGTAAAGGAATGCCAACCTTTTACCCAGCCTTGATGTGTTGTCAGTGAACCTGCAGGACTTCTAAGTCAGTGAGGTTCTATTGTCTTTCTCTGACTTTGGTCACAGTCAAAATAAACTAAATGTTGTGTCTACACATTGCTTCACCTGTTCTGTTTGCATCTCCCACCAGGGGCTTGGTCTTGGAGTTGAGGGTCTCAGTTTCCCTGTGCCTATGAAGTTGGCTTGGTGTTGAGTGGCTGAGTGGCCTGCATTTAGATTACACCACTGGGTGGAAGTGTGCAGTGGTGGAAGGAGAATTGGCCTTGGACAGACCTATATTGTCTTCAGGACTAGGCTGGTTGGTGTGTGTGGCACGTGGGAGGTGTTGGAGACAGACTCTCAATAAGCTTTTTTGGGATCTAGAAGGAGCATTTCCGAGAGTATTGGCTATTATCAAATAAAAATCTTTCCTTGTAACAACTAGATCTTCAATCTAATCATTTTACTTTCAAACTTTCTTTAATTAAGAGTGGTGGCTCTTAACTTTTTGGGACACGTATCCCTTTCAGATTCCAAAGAAACCTGAGTACTCTCTAGAAAACTGGCACATTTAAAATTTTGCATCAGAGATCTGTGGACCACAGGTTAAGAACCTCTGTTCTAGTGTCGCAGGTTCAATTCCCAGTCAAGGTACATGCCTGGGTTACAGGCCATGACCCCCAGCAACTGCACATTGATGTGTGTGTGTGTGTCTCTCTCTCTCTTTCTCCCTCCCTTCCCTCTAAAAATAAATAAATAAAATATTTTAAAAAATTTAAAAAAAAGAACCTCTGTTCTACAGACTGTAGTTAGAGCCAGCTTGAATCTCTCTGTTCAAGGGGAATGCATTGTGCCCTCATGTGAATATAGTCTAGAAGTTTTTCTGTCATTTTTCTCTGTTAACGAGGTCAGGGCTCCCCAGCACTTGGCCCAGGACTGGACACAGAGTCACTCATTTGCCAAGTTCACCAAAGCTGTTATGGCCTGCCTCCAGAGTATGAATCCTCTAGACTCTTTACCACCTTTCTCTCCTTCCAGAGAGCTAAACCAACACTTCCCAGCCTCACCCTGCAAGGACTCAACAGAGAGGGTGGGATCAGTTGTAACCTAACACTCACTTGTTTACTCTTTAGGTATATGTGTTTTTATGTTAAAATAATGGATTTTTTTTTTTTACCCCAAAGCTTTAAGTAGTGTTGACACTCTAGGAAGATGGGCATTTGAGCCTTTGCACAGACGAGCTCCTAGATTACACGGATGTACATCACAGAGCTGCACACTCCTCTCCACAGCAGTGATACTGCAGGGGTCAGGACAGACCTGTCTTCACTTTATTTTTTTTTTTAGATTTTTTTATTCATGTATTTATTCCATAATCAGAATAAATCATAATTTAAAAGCCATGACATTTTCACAAGGTTAAGGAGACTTTGTATTACAGCTACATCAATAAAACAGATATAAGTCTAAAATGCAACACTAAACAGGTGTGCTGTTCCCATGATGGAATAACTACATAACAATTATACATATAAATTCACTAAAGATTGAGGTGAGGAAAATAACCCTTTGAAACAAACTTCCCAATGAATAGAGGCATGCTGCATAATTTCTATTAATATATTACTGTAAGATGGAAAAATGTCTGAAGTATACCATATTTTGCTGTATATAATGTGCACTCATGCATCTGTGTGCATTATACACGTGATTATTATACTGATGGTATGTAATCATTATACCCATGTATAATGTGCATCCTTATTTTTCTCTAAAAATTTTGGCAAAAAAAGTCCACAGTATACATGATAAAATATGGTGACTACTAACTCCAACCCCCTTTATTTCATGTACCTGATCTTGGCATTTGTCTTCCTTCTTCAGTCACATCAAATCTATGCTCAGAAATGCCACCTTCATTCCCCAAGGACGTCAGCAAAAACTGCTAATAATGAGCCTGTATGCAGTCTTCACCTAGAATCTCCAGAGAAATTAAGAGCCCAATAAGAGCAGCAGCATTTCTTAAAACTATTTTAACTGTTTAATTAGTTCTGATAGGCCATGTGCATTTCATAAACAAACGGAAATAGTGTCTTAATATCTTCCTTTTTTTTTCTTGCAAAATATTAAGCAAGTTATTCAAGTAAAAATATTTTACAGAAACAATGAAAAATAAAAATTCAAAGGGTTTATGCCAAAAAGCAAACCAGTCCTTTGCAGCCTATTTGTTTCTGGGTTGTAAAGCCACAAAGAGGGCAGTTAGGCTGTAGATGGTCCCTCCCATGGTGGCCCAGGCAGGCCTTATTTCAGGTGGATGGGCACACCATTGATTTCTGGAAAAACTTCAGCTCAGGAACTTTTCCCAGCATGATGTGTACTATAACTGGAAGTCAAATTAGTTGGTGTGGCAAATATGATAGGTGGTGCTGGTATGGAAACCATAAGCTTTAATCTCTGGGCTATAGGTATAGGAAGCCCATGCTCCCACCAATTTCTATGCGAAACCCCTAAACTTGTAGTACATGATGCTCTCTGTCCAGCTACTCATAGCCTCTCCCTGTCTCACTTTAAATGACACCTTATAATTCGTCTCATTTTGAGAGAAAACTTCAAGGTGAAAATGAGTAGCAGTTGAAAAGCAAACACATTACTAATATGTTCACATTTGGTCAAAATGTCTAGTATTCTAGTATTCTAGTTAAACTGAGTATGGCTAAAGGCTAAAATAAAAGTTATGTCCAACAAAAGGCATTAAGCTTTAAGTAGGATGAAAAGCAAAGGCCTGATCTCAGAGGTTCTTGGAAAAACAAGAATTACTGGGAACTTAAGTGTCTGGGCTTAAGCCTTGGGTGGTGGTCTTGTGTCTCCATATAGCAGCAGAAAAACACTTGGCATTTCCAGAGCCAAAGCTAGGGTGGAAACATGCAAGTTTATAAGACATTGAACAGACACACTCTGGGTACTAAAAATATGAAAATAATGGCTGCTCTTACTGAGCTCTTCTCCCAAGGACTCCATGAAGTGGTGCTTTAATGTCCTCTTTTAGGGAAGAGAAAAAAGGCTTGAGAGGTTAAGTAAAATAGCACACAGACCGAAGGGACTGATCCTGTCTATGCTGGACCCGTCTCTGCAATAGCCCTGCCCAGTCTGCAGTGTGGTGTGAAATGGAGGATGAGCTCTCCCAGGCCAAAGGGTCCTTGAACCCAGAATGGGGACCTATTTTCTGACCTGAGCCAGGCACTTCCTACACGTGCTGCTTGGACCTCCCTCCTTTGGTGTGTGGATAGTTCTTTGCTGGTCTCCCAGGTAAGGGTTCATAACTTGAGGTTGTTCTGTGCAAAGAAGTGAGTATAAGAGTATAATTGTTTTTCAGGGGAGGGGCCTGAAGCATCAACAAATGTTTAAAGGGGTGTGTGAGCCAAAAAGCAGTAACAAACCCTGTTCAGATTAGAGGAGAGACCTTTCTAGAGCAGGCTGGGTGGTTGTGACAGTTTCAAAAGGAATGACTCAGTAAATATTACCTTTAAAATGTTTTGTTTTTAATTGACATAATTTCAGGTTTGATGGAAGATTTGCAAGAGGACAAAGAATTCCCAGATACCCTTTATCCTTGTTCCCTAAATATTAATATTTTACACATTTGCCTTTTTCTTGCTCTCTTTACACACATTATACATACATGTACACACACTTTTTCTGAATAATTTAAAAGCAAGTTGCAGATACCATGTTCCTTTACCCTTAATATTATGGTATGCATTTCTTAAAGTAAGAAATGTTCTTACCTCGCCACAGTACAATGATCAAAATCACATAAGTTAACCTTGACCCCATGCTGTTATCTGATCTACAGACCTAATTCACATTTCAGTAATGGTTCTAACATTGCCCTTTATAGCATAAAAAATCAAGATTAAGCATTGTGTTCAGTTGTCATGCTTTCTTAGTCTTTTATGATCAGAAACTGCCCTGGTCTTTCTTAATATGGACATTTTTTATAAGTACTGGCAAGTTGATTTGCAGAATGTCCCTGAACTTGAGGGTACCTGTTGTTTCCTTCTGTTTAGCATTCTGTTAGGTACTTTGGCAGAAATACTACAACATGATGCTGAGTTCTTCTCAGCCCATCATTTAGGAAGCACATGCTGTCCACTAGTCCCATTTCTAGCAAATTTAACTTTGATTTTTTAGTTTTTGCAAATAAGTACGTTGTGGGGAGATTCACTGAGTTGATGTAATATTCTGTTACTGCTCAGACATTCCAGCACTAGTTTTAGCATCCAAACAGTGTTCTTTTGGCCTGCTACTGTGAAGAGGAAAGCTGTCCAGGCTTCCTTGAGGAAGCCCCTTTTAAAGCTGGGTTACCAATGCCTGTTCTTTTTTTGTGTGGTGATAACACTGAGCACTAAACTCAAGAGACAGCCTGGTATGTTAAGTAGTAAGTAGGTCTTTCACATCTGTCACCCTTCAGTAAATGCTGGCTAGTGTTCCTGCATTCCTACTGCTGCTTCAGGACATAGCAGCAGTGTCATAGGAAAGTGGAGGTACTTCAGTTTGGCTCCAGTTACTCAGTGCTTTGTAGCTTTTGCATCTCAATATTTACCAGAGCTATCTGATGACAAAAAGAATAAAGAATTTGTTAGCTACCTAATGTTACATAAGGAACCACCACAAAATCTAGTGTTTTAACACTATAGTTGTATATTTTTTCTTTGGGTTGTGTGGGTTTTTCAGGTGGTTCTCTCCACATGTTGCCTCCTGGGTCACTGGGGAAGCAGCCAATACCTGGGAGTTCAGATGGTAGTGCTGACCAAGGGTCTTGGTCAGTCCTCTCCCAGGTGGGCCTCTGCATGGGGTTGCTTAGACTGCCTCATGACATGGAGTCTGGGTTCCAAAATGAAGCATTCTTCTGACATTCCAGGAAAACAAATTTCAATTGCAAGTGCTTATCAAGCCTTTGCTTATAACATACTTATTACTGACCTATTGGCTGGAACCAGTCACATACATGCCCAAGCTTCTAGTCCACATGGGAGGGATTCAAAAGGGACAAATACCAGGATATATTCATGAGGGGGCCCACCAAAGTACAGTCAACTACAAAAGGCTACTATA